TCTTCCCTTTTTTTAACTGAAGAGAAACATCCCCCTTCTGCCATTGCAAAATTATTTAGAAGAGTGTAAATTGAAGCCATTTATCTTGAAATGTACTATTGGAGCAGACTGTTTATACAAGTGAAAGAAATTGTAACATAAGAGTATTTGATTTGGTCCGCAAGGAAAAGGTTTTCTGGTTTTTTTACATATGGAATATTGGTTCTAATATAGAAAAAACATGTTGTTTAAGAGGCTCCAATTTGCATATCAGTGTTTTAGTGAAGTAGGAACAATGGCATTTTTTTAATGGGGAATATGTTTTTTGTTACACTGTTATTTTGTTACAAAATAAATTTGATATTAGATTTAGAGCTACGCTGTAATCAGTTTGAGGTAGAATGTTCCATACACATGGTAAAGATTTTCTGACCAGAGAATGCTCATCATGTGAATCCAGAATAAGCTGTTATTAGCTAATACAAAGCTGTTAATATTTATCCATCAGTTGGTGGACGAGTGAGTCTGGAATTAAATTACACACGGCAGAAGATTGGAGAAGAGGCCATGTTTAACCCCCAGCTCATGATTCAGACTCCACAGGAAGATGGTGCTAATGTACTAACAATAGAAGCACTCAGACAGCACCTTGACTCTGCACTTCAGGCCAGCAGAGTAGATGTTTATATGTACAACAGGTAAGGAGAAAAGCAAAACTTTTCTTGATCATCTAACAGCTAGAAAGTGGACAGATGTTTCCTTGCATATATTTTTAATGGATAGCACTTCAGGATCTTTCCCTTAGAACTGTGTTTTGATTTGAATGTCACTAATTACTGATGCTTGAAATTGTGGCATGATAGCAGTGACCAGCTGACTTTTTAACAAATAAAATGGTATAAGAGGTGTTGGATGAGATTCTGAAAATGTACCCTTATGAACAGTGCTACAGTATCCAGCATTTTTCTTGGTAAAGAAGTGATAAGTGTGCTCTTAAAAATAGGACTTTATTGATGGGATTCCTAACAATGAAAAGCCTTCCAGTAATTTGGGTTTAAAGGGGAAATGCAAATGGAGGAGAAATGGCAGCAGGTGGAATTACTGGGCTATTTAATAACATCGATGCAATCATAGTAGAGTTGACCTTCAGGGTGTCTGTGTGTACATACTGAGGGTTGGGAGTTGTCTGAAAAGCAGGATATAAGAGTTGTCCAACAATAAAAATACTAAAAGTGCACCTTAATGAGGCACCAGTTTTGGGCTAGTGAGATCTCTCCATGACAAGTGGTTCCTCCAGGGTTGCTACTTATATGATGATGTGCCTAGGGATGCTATCTATGAGGCATGAAGCCTGCTGTCTTTCAGCACATCTTTTCAGCGCATCTAACTGATGCCTAAATGAACTAATACCTAGGCTCCTGCCTTGTCTAAGGTGCTGTAAGTCACTACAGTGGAAGTTATAATACAGCTGAACAAGGAAAACAGAAATTCTAATGGTTTCTTTTCTCCTACTTGCATGAGTTAGAGATAGTCTGAACCTGAAGCTGACTTCTCTCGTGTCACTGAGTGCTATCTTAAGTCACAAGTGGTCTTATTTATATAAAGACACATTTCTGTCCCTGTTAGTTGTGTCAACTAACCTATTAATCCAAAAGAAGCTCCATTATTTTTAATGACTTTTACAGACACTGTTTAGCATAAATGAAATAAATATTTCTAGTTATAACTACAAAAAAAGAAAGGCCTTTTTTGTGAGGTTGTGTTATACCTACACTGAATAAAATTTGTCTTTCTCAGTGATTCACTACTTGAGGCCACCATGTCCATGTGAGTTGCAATTTTAATGTATGTTATATTTTAAAAATAACTTTTCAGTAATTGTGAAAAAAACTCCAACAACAAAAACTTATTCTTTATATTTATTACAGACAATGGAAATTGGAACACTTATGTTATAAATCAGCAGAACTCATCACGGAAGCAGGTTACATGGACCAGGTAGGCAAAACAGGCATTTGGTTATAAGCATTTTATATTCTCATGATTCAACTTGTGTTGTTTAGATTATATTGTAGTCTGACTGTGTTTTTTTCCCCTTTCTGACTTTGACAGATCATAGAATATCTTTATCCTTGTTTAATTATCACTCCTTTGGACTGCTTCTGGGAGGGAGCAAAGCTACAGTCAGGAACGGCCTATCTATTGTAAGCATGCTGTTTTTATAACTTTCCAGTCTGTCTGATTTTAGTAGTAAAATGATGCATGATTTTGAGTTGCATCCCATTGCTTATTCAGATTCTGGCTTAACTAAAAAATAAATAAATTGTAGTGTCTTTGCAGAAAAGACACTGTGGTGGGTTGACCCTGGCTGGACACCAAGTGCCCACCAAAGCCACTCTAACACTCCCCTTCTCAGCTGGACAGGGGAGAGAAAGTATAATGAGGAGCTTGTGGGTTGAGGAGAGGGAGAGGTCAGGGAGGAGTCATTCAGCATTCGCCCCTTCTCAGCTGGACAGGGGCGAGAAAATGTAACAAAAAGCTTGTGGGTCAAGCTAAGGACAGGGAGAGATCATTCAGCAATTACTGTCACGGGCAAAACAGACTTGACTTGGGGAAATTAGTTTAATTTATTACCAATCAAATCAGAGTAGGATAATGAGAACTAAAACCAAATCTTAAAACATGTTCCCCCCCCTTCTTCCTGGGCTCAATTTCACTCCCGATTTTTTCTACCTCCTCCCCCTGAGTGACGCAGGGGGACAGGGAATGGGGGTTGTGGTCAGTTCATCACACGCTGTCTCTGCCGCTCCTTCCTCCTCAGGGGGAGGACTCCTCACACTCTTCCCCTGCTCCAGCATGGGGTCCCTCCCATGGGACACGGTCCTCCACGAACTTCTCCAACGTTGCTATGTCTAATAATTAAAGAAACCAAAGATATCTTTTATGGCTGGTTTCTCACAATTTGCAAGTGTGATATTATATGCTCTACATCATTCAAAGAGTTAATTGTTAATCTGTGCAGGCATTTTCTGTTAATTATGCAAGAGTTAGCATTTGAGTTATTGTTTCTGACCTGGTTTGCACGTCTCTGTGAAAGCAATTTGCAATGGCTAATGTTTAGTGTACAGTTTTAGATGGGGAAATAAGGGGGGTTGTATTTTCTCGTTGGGAGATTTCAAATAAAGAATTAAGCCTGGTTAAGCAGATACAGTGTGGTTTGAATCACAGAATAAGGCAGCCAAAAGCCTTTGTAGTCTGCCAACATCACAAATTCAAAAGTGGGGGGTGGGAGATGTGGCACTGATAGGGATGACAGCCATAGTAGCAGGAAAGCTTGATGGTTGGTAGTCAAGCAGCCAGGGCATTTGCAGGAGCACAGAATTGTTATAGATAAACAAAGATCAGCTACATTGATTGATTATGTTTGCAAGATGATTATTAGACTAGCAAGAAGTAATCTGATACTATGTGAAAGGATTTCTTTCTTCAGCTCCCTCCCTTCTTTCCCTCTCCCCTCCCTCCAAATTCTTTGAAGCAGCAGTTGACTGCTTTTTTGTTATTTAGGTGCGTGATGGTTTGTTTTATTTGGTTTGTAAATTAAAGTGTTTTTAACATGTGAATTAACATGTGAATATTCCCTTTCATACAGTAAATTGGTATGTAAGTACTGACTATTTTTGTTAAAATCACCACAGGGCTACAAGAAAAGTATACATAACAAATATAATTAAAACATGCATTTCGTTTTATGAAACACCCTTACCAGAAAGGGTTATAGCTTGTAACAGAAAACAACCTCATCATTTGTGCAAATACAAATTAAAAAATTATGTTTCAGTATTTATTTTGTCTTTTTTTGGTCATTTTTCCCTGATTTCTATTACAGAGGGAAACCTCCTTTGCAGTGGATCAACTTTGACCCCTTAGAATTCTTAGAAGAGTTAAGGAAAATAAATTACCAAGTGGAGAACTGGGAAGAAATGCTGAATAAAGCAGAGGTTGGTCATGGTTATATGGATCGACCTTGTCTGAATCCTGCTGATCCTGATTGCCCAATCACAGCTCCCAACAAAAATTCCACCAAAGTAAGTTTGCTTATCTTTCTGTAGATCTTTTCAAGGGAGGCTCTGTATGTGTGGTGAGAGAAAAGGGTACCACTCCCTTCCAAGTAATATATCTTTTATGTTCTTCAGTGATTTAATTTTTCAGTTCCTATTATATACCATTAGTCCAGAGTCACTAACTTTCCCTCAGCCTGTGATGCAATATTAATCACGCATATTTAGAGTGAGATTATAGTTCTCAGCTACTGACTGGATGTGGCAATGTGGTGACACACCATTTCAGCAGGCAACATGCCTCAGGCAGACGCAGTCACTCCTGGAATATGGCTGCTGCTGTACACTGACATCATGCAGCAAAGTCTTCCTTCAAGTAGAGCCAGTTTTGTTGACCCAACTTTATATCCCTTTCTCAGTCACACTAGACTTTGGAGAAGTTGCTGTCTGGTGAACAAGTATTGGGATAGTTTGTCTACTCCATTTGTTGAACACATTTCTCTTTGTAGACTACCTAGTTGATCTTCAATATCTGTTATTTCAGTACACTAGGTGTTGATTTAGGATATGAGTTTGAAGTTGTGCAACTGATGAATTGCTTTAAAATTTTTTTCTAGCCTCTTGATGTGGCTCTTGTTTTGAGTGGTGGATGCTATGGACTGTCAAGAAAATACATGCATTGGCAGGAGGAATTGATTATAGGTGGTACAGTCAAGAATAGTTCTGGTAAACTTGTCAGGTAAGCAAACAAATGTTTACAGAAAATTTTAAAATTTTTCTTTGTTAGGGTTTGGGTTTTTTTTGGCAGGGGGCCAGATCATGCAAAATCAACTGCCTTTTGAAATCTGTGAATTATGAGTATTATGAACCCTGGTCTAGGAGGACATCCCTGATGAGGACAGAATTTAAAAGAGTGATTAGACAGTTGTTTAAATTTGAGGAGGTGTCATTGCTGCCTACTTCTAACCTAAGAATGATAGTGTACATTGCTCAGAAATAATTTTTTTCCTGGCAACTTTGTTTTTTTATAGTGTATGTATAAAGCATTGAACAGTATTTAAAATGAACAACTTTGTGTTTTTGAAATATGATCAAAGGAAAAAAGGGGGAAAATCAACTTTGGTAATGTGCCCACTCATTTGACTTTTCTCAGAATTCCAAAATCTCTATTGAACTGTTTGTTTAGGGTCAATACAGAGAAAAGTATATTCTTTATGTCACTGTATCTTGAATACTTTTTTGACTGATGAAATAAACCCCTTTGTTTCAGACTTCTTGAAGAAGTCATGGAACACTGCACTTCAGGGAGGAAACCCCTTGAAATAGAACTGTGTTAAAAAAATAGGACATATAAAAACATTTTTTAGATGTATGCACATCTAAATCCACATTTATATTAAACTAAAAGAAGTACAATTCTCACATATTTAATACAGATAATTTTACTAGAACTTTTGATATGTATTTTAATGTTTTTTACATTGACACTAAATATTGTTTAATTTCTTACTAATTTTGATTTATTCTGAAAAAGTGCACAGAAGTGTCTTCTAACAAATAGCCAAAGACTTTATTCTTGGTGAAAAATAAAACAGTTCCTTAAGCTTCTAAATTTCTTGGATACAGTTACATACTGTGGAAATTTACGATGGATAATTATCACCTTTTGTGTATTCTTTGCTGCTTGTCAGGTGTCAGAAGTTTAGTCTGGCATTTCTTTCTAAGGGATGAAAAAGACCAAGGTCTTCAAAAGAAATTTCCAACAGCATTTGTAAGATCTCATAGGAATAACTGTTCCTGTGTCCTCCTCATAGCAATCTGTCTGTCAGTCATGATCTTTATAACTGATTTGTAGGGTTACGTTCTTTGCTCCTGAAACTGATCCTATTGAAAATAATGACAAAACTCTCACTAATTTCAGTGAAAACACTTAGCCTCAACACTATATAGACCAATACAGCTGCACCAGATGCACAGTAGAATAATTATACTCTGTTCAATTTTAATGTCAACATGTGGCCTATATCAAGAACTTGTGCAAGCTCCTATTAGGCTCTCATTTGAGCCTTTATGCAGTGAAAAATCATTTCCTGAAAATGCTTATTTTATGCCTCTTTCTCCTCTCTCTTCTCTTCCTGTTATAGTGCCCAGGCTTTGCAAACCATATTTCAGTTAATGACTCCTAAGCAAATGTATGAGCACTTCAAGGGGTATGAATATGTTTCACATATCAACTGGAGTGAGGATAAGGCAGCAGCAATTCTGGAAGCCTGGCAGCGGATGTATGTTGAGGTAAAATTGAAAATAACCTAGATATTTTGCTTTAAAGTTTTACTAAGATCCACTGCCTTTAGTCGTGGCTTTTTATAGTATTTTCTCAAGGAAGATGCTTAAACTAGAACTGAGTGTTGTCTCCTGGTTTTAATGTTATCCTTGCTCTGTAGCAGACTATTTTAAAAGGCTGATTTCTTCTTTTTTTTAATTAAGAAGCTGCTTGCTTATTCACATATAAGAAGCCATGAAGGTTTTACTGTTTGCTGGACCTTGGATTAAAGGCAAAACTCATACAACAGCAAATCAATGGCAGAGTTATGGAAAGAAGAAACCTCGTTTACATTTCAGGAGTTAAGTTAAATGTTTTGAATGAGCTGTGAATGCAGTGGCCTTTCCTGGAGGATGCAAATTCTTGTTTGATAATCAGTAGCTTGCAGGAAATAATTACCAAAAATATTTATTTCATGTAACATCAGTGAAATCTCTTGTATAGGGTGTGTGCTTTAACAGGAACGTTAAAGGCAAAAGTAGTTGATTTCAGATATGTGCTGTAGAAGATGATAATGGGCTTTTTTTTTAGCCACACTAAGTTTTATTTTTCTTTCCATAGGTTGTTCATCAAAGTGTTGCACAAAACTCTACTCAGAAGGTGCTTTCCTTTGCTACAACTACCCTGGATGACATTCTAAAGTCATTTTCTGATGTCAGTGTTATCAGAGTAGCTAGTGGCTACTTACTAATGGTAAGAAAAAAGTTTATTTAATTGACTCCTGTAGTATAGCAGGGCTCAAATGGCTGCCTTGTTGTTACCAGTCAACAGTCCAGAACATTTTCAGAATACTTAAAATAAAAATTGCAGTTTGTAAACATTTGCCTCAGGGTTGTCACCTATTCCTCTATGTAACATCTCTGATGTGTCTGTTCTGTTCAAAAATGTTTGTAAGCTGTGTATGTTGTTGGGGGGGAGATAGCCGATAGAGAAGGATCCATTCTAATCCAATCCCTGCTTTGCTTTCAGCTTGCCTACGCCTGTTTAACAATGCTGCGGTGGGACTGTGCCAAGTCTCAGGGTGCTGTGGGGCTGGCAGGAGTCTTCTTGGTTGCTCTCTCAGTGGCTGCAGGATTGGGTCTGTGCTCATTGATTGGAATTTCCTTTAATGCTGCCACAACTCAGGTATTAAGGAGCCATAAGTCTGCTGCTAAATTACAAGAACTTTGTTAGTAAATGAACACATCTGAATCAATCTTTGAGGAAAAACAAAAGCTGAGAAAGTATTTTGATGTTTAGATTTTTACCTATGTCTTTCTCCTGTCTAGTAGCTTGTGCTGTGAGAAATTAAGAGAACATGCTGCCAAATGATTTTAAAGAAAAAGGCAGATATCTGCAGTTTGTTTAATTACGTAGGTTCTAGGATATTTGTTTTTCCCAATATGAGTGTAAGCATACAGTTGTACATAAGAAGATGCAAGTTTTTTCCTTTACATCTGAATATATCAGGATGTTCATCTCCTAAAAATATTTTGAAAATAACTTGAAATATTATCTGATATTCTTTGCCTACCAAAAACTTAAATTACTTTTAGTAAGGTTTTGTACCTATAAATGGTATACTGCAAGTTCTTCATCAGTCTTTCAGAATAAAAGTTAATAGCTGTATTGCATCCTACTGATTTTCATTTTAACCTTGGATTTGTGTTCAGAGTGTAGTGTAAAGGTTATTTTGATTAGCCATGTAATGACTAGTTGCATGGTAGATCATAAGAATAATATAAAAATGTTCTTGTTTTTTTGCTTGTTTTGTTTTTCCCCCAAGGTTTTGCCTTTTCTTGCTCTTGGAGTTGGCGTAGATGATATATTCCTTCTGGTACATGCATTTAGTGAAACAGGGCAGAATAAGAGAATTCCATTTGAGGTAATGACAAAATGGGGAGTTGGGGGGAAATAAAAGAATAAAATAAAAGAAAAAGCCTCATATAGGAAAGTATGTTATACCTAGAATTAGTAATGATTTTTTAAAAAATCTTTTGTTCTAGAGATCTTTGTCCTAGGGCCTGGTTTTCTTTCCTTTTATTTATAATTAACCATGACATTCACATTCACATTATGAAGTCTAAGATCCTCCTCACTTTTATAATCCTTTCCTTTTATTGACCTTTTTATTCTCAGTCCAAAGTTCCATATCCAAAGCACAAACCTTTTAAAATCAGTATATATTTGCCAGTTCTGTTTTGTACGAGCAATGTCTTCCATGTGCTCTTTCCAGCTGGTTCAACATGTAGACACTACACACTCATTGTGCTATAACCTCCACATGCTTCAAAATAACCTACTGCGTTGCGAAAGGATCCTGTGTTTGATTCTCTCTGATTTTTTGTGTGGTTCCTGGGGTTTTTTTCTTACATGCTTCTTCAAGACATTATTCATCTATGCTGTTAATGCATGCTTATTTTGTCTGAAAAAAGTTGAGAACACCAAGTGACTGTACTGATACAAAAAAAATCCTACTTAATAACTGATGTTTTTGATATAATGTCAGTATCCATTTAGCTTTGAGTTTTGAAGGCAGTGTCAGCTTTGATAATGTTTGTTACCCTCAAAGGATGTAAGCACTTCATATGTCATTTGCTTTTCTCCTGGATAGTGTATGTAGTATATTGTTTACTCTTACATATTCTCAAATGCACACTTATATTCAGAATTTCCTTATAATAGTTTTCACTGTTACCATGTTATATCTGTAGGATGACCCCTTCATTTGCAGGACATCACCTTATTCACTTGACTTGTCCAATACATCATTTGTTTTGCAGGATAGAACAGGTGAATGTTTGAAGCGAACAGGAGCAAGTGTAGCCCTTACATCTATCAGCAATGTTACTGCTTTCTTTATGGCTGCCTTAATCCCTATTCCCGCTTTACGAGCATTTTCACTCCAAGTAAGTTTTTATGTTGTTTTGTTAGCTCTTGTAGATGATGTCATCATGGAAAGTGAATGATAACTGTTAGTGGTAGTGCTAAAACAGGGCTTCTGCAGTTCACTGAACCAATATGTCATTCTTGTTTACCATAGTTCTTGGTGATAACTGTGGAGTATTAAGGCATGGACTCTGGCGGGGATTCAGGCCAAAGAACTTTATTGTTATAAAAGCTTGCTTTTTATACAAATACAGCCCATTCACGTGCCTAAAAGTGCTACCTGATTGGCTATTGCTTTAAGTCCACGCGAGCTACCTGATTGGCGATTGCTTTAAGTCCACGCGACTCTCACAGAGGCAGGACTGGTTGCCTCTGTATGTCCACGCGCTCCTTTGCTTCCTCTTAGTTATTTACCACAGCTCCTTCTCCTCAAGGTTGAGCCCTGCAGGTGTCCAGCTGTTTACCAGCTTCTCAATGCCACAGCTCCTTCTCCTTAAGGTCGAGCCCTTGCAGGGTGATCCCAAAAGATAACCAACTGCTTTCTCCCCTTGATTCTGCTCCTTCCATTTCTCATGCCTTGAGTCTCTCATATCCTGTTGGTGGGTGAAAGAATATCCTGTCCCATCCCAACTAGGTTGAGTGCAAAAACCAAGTATGCAACTAAGCACAAAGAAGTCTCCAGCAAGATTTGAGTTCTTAAGGCAGTTGAGACCAGTAGACTGTACTCTAGTTTACACCATCACATTCCTAAGTAGGAATTTAATACTTTCATTGAGGTTTGTCCCATTTGCTGCTATTGCAAACCATAACCAAAGTGCAGTGACAGCAGCGAGAATGCATTTGCCACGTTAATTATTACTGCAGCAGTTTGTACTGACTGGTTCCCAATGTATTTTTAGCAAAATGTTGGAGAAAACTTCATCGAGAATATTCTGTTCCGTTATGTTTTGAGGGAAAATGGGAATATTCTGTGCTGAAGCATGTATCGCTTTCTCTCTCTTTGTCTTCTCTTTTTTTTGTGTGTGTAATAATAGTCCTTCAGGAAAATGAAATATTAGGGATGCTGAAGAAAGCTTCTTTGGAAAGCAAGGGCGCTTTGAAGAAAGCTCTGGGAAGTTCTCCTCTCACGCATTTTTAACACACAAGCAATTTATAGCATTGGCTGACCTTAATACAGAGCAGGCAAACTAGTTCTTCAGTAGTCATTTTTCCTCTGTTATAGCCTGGCTCTCCAGTCATTTTTCATTCTCCTTGAGCCAGAGGAAGCAAGGGCTACATTTTTTCTTAATACCTGAGACAATTATTGCTGTTTTCAGCAATTTAAGTATGCCTACATTAAGCTATTAAATTGTAAAGTGTTCATGACTGCAGCTACATGATCAATATTAGTAACTTGTTTACCATTTTAGAATCATAGAATCTTTGGGTTGGAAGGGACCTTTTAAGGTCATCTAGTCTGACCCCCCTGCAATGACCAGGGACATCTTCAACTAGATCAGGTTGCTCAGAGCCCCATCCAACCTGACCTTGAATGTTCCCAGGGATGGGGCATCTACCACCTCTCTGGAAAACCTGTTCCAGTGTTTCACCACTCTCATTGTGACAAATTTCTTCCTTATACCAAGTCTAAATCTACCCTCTATTAATTTAAAACCATTACCCCTTGTCCTAGTCCATGTCTTTCCTGTGCTGAGGGCTC